CTGACCAGCGATTGGCTGCATGGCAGAGCTATCGATCAGCACAGCCAGCAAATCCGACGCGTCAGGCATAAGCGTATATTAACCAGAGTGCTCAGACGCTAACTTGCGGATATGACGACAGGCATATATGGTCTAGCAATTTAACATTTGGGGGAAGGCGGAGAAGGGGAAACAGATACTTCACATACTCCCTGTATCCACTGGGGATGCTCCGTCATGCATGTTATACAGCCACGCCTGACAATAGTGTGGAGTAGCCGATACGATCATCATACTGAGTCGCAACAAATGCTTGTTTTCAATGTCTGTTCTTCTGAAATTCCTGCGCATTATGTAGATAACAAAATGGATTTGAGACAGTGGTTGCCACTTTAGCTTAGAACCTGCTATAGGTGTCCTAGGCACACAAAGCTAGCTGTGCAGAAAACGGTCAACAAACGCATTTTATGAATCAAGGTAGTGCGTCAAAATGTAATTTTTTATCGTTTGAAAACATTTCTGAGCCTAACAAGTTTATCAACTCGAAATTGATCAGTTAGAAGTAAAGTGAATAAAGTTCCGAATCCCTTGGTTCTAAATTGCCGTATGCGAGGGTAATTCACGCTTTTTCAAAAATGGGTAGAATCCTAGTTAAGGTCCCGAGTGAGATAAACAGGTTACTATCCAGGCAATACCAAGTAAATAAAATATAAATGAAAAATAAGTTAATGAAAGTAGAAGAGGCAGGAATTATTATTTAGGTGGCTTAATGTTTGTCAACAATAAAGTGCGCCATAATTAAAATGAGCAAATATTGGGAAATAACTACATTACGAAATAACTAACCAAAATCAAATAATAAAAACGTAGGATAAATTTAGCTTAAGTGAATTTAATTTAAAAATACTTAAAAACTAAAATAAAAATAGTAAACATAATAATGAACTGAAAACTAAAATGAAAACTGAACTTAAGCATACAAAACTTAAAATTGTTGCGCATATACATTGACGGTGTGCGCAGTGCATCGTGCCGCGAACTATAATAATTTAACTCCAAAACTGCAGGTTGGACCCCAAGTAATTTGAAGTAAACGAACTCCCATCCACCAAATGTTTTAGGACTATCAAGAAACCCAAAAAAACTATGAAGTAAAAGTAAGTACAAAATGCCCAACTTTGTCTCACCCAAAAAACTATAATTAAGTATCACGAATAAATGAGAACGTTCGAGTTCCAGGTATTCGCATGCTTGAAGAAGATGGAAAGTCGAGCACCGGATCAAGTTTATTTTTAGCGGGTTACCTTGTCACGAAAAAATTAGATTATTTTAAAAATTTCTTGGACCTTACTTAGTATTCTACCAAAGATAGATTTTTTAGAGCAGGGGTAAAACTCTTCTCCTCTCCTAAGCTCCAGGGGTTTAGAGTCACGAAAGTTAGGTTTAGAGATAAAATGGGCCATGCAGTCGGCCACCGGTCTCTCGCAAACTCAAAGGAACTTCTGAAATGCATTAACGATCAGAAAGGATAACTTAGGTGCGATTTTACTATTAATTACAATGCAGCCTTATGTTAGAATATATCAGACGCGCCAATCTGTTGGCTTTTGAATGTACACCCCTTCAGTTGCCTGCAAAAAGTTGCAGTCGGGAAAAAAATTCGTACTTACTAAGCACGCATTTTTTGCATTGCTTGTGGTTGTCTTTATAAGACTACAAATATTTTATCGAAAACGTTGGCAAAAATATTATCTCTTGTACAGAGCTGACAGTGAGTCACATCTTATTCAGAATGTTTCCAATTTCAGAATATTTTTCGGTCGAATATTCCGTAGCGGGTGGTTTAGTTTTTATTCAGTCTACAAGCTGTATGCCTTCTGAGTAATAAAAATCATACAATCTTCCATATCACGAAGAAGACACCATAGAGTTTTTATAAAAGTTTGCAATGGATGTGGCCAATGTTTAAACTGCAGAAGGACTATTATTAAACGGGAAGCTACGGTGTGCAATCTTAAACATGCTCCCAGTTTTAAACTATTAAAAACCAAAAACGACTCCTTATTCGAGTATTAAAATTTAAGAAAAAGTAAAAGAAAGGATACACATGTAAATGGTTCCTGTAACTGATATTTGAATTTTTAAGGGCCGCAAAAATGAATCAGAAAACTGTTTACTACAGTTTTTCAAGTGCTGCAAGCAAAATGCAGCAGTTTGCGAAAGACTGGCAATCACTGGTAGAGTTGCAATTCTGCTTATCGTGCAGTTTAATCTCAAGTCTTTTCAGTCACGTGAGTATGCTGGCTCTTTACTAAGCATTTTTCTGACTGTTCACAAAAAGTAGATTGTGTAACAAAATGGCTACTTAAAAGTATGCTTTTTTATCGTGGATTTTGACTGGCTTTATAAAATTCAACATATGTTATAGAAAACAAGCATGCAAAAACATTTTACTCTTCTCGCTTGGTAGGAAAGTACGTCCTTTTTACATTTTATACTCAAATAAAAGGGTATCCTTGGGTTTTAGAAATTATCCTTATTATGGGATTTTTATTGCCTGTGAGGTGTTAATACATAACAAATTTTATCTATCAATTTATTAACACTGCCTATAATGCATGCAGAATGTTCCGCCTCTATTGCAACATTTTATGAGAACTATTTGATATATTTCTTAAACCCTAAGCGGAAACGTCTTTTTCCTTAAATGGAATATACACAGCATGCTATTTAGAAACCTCTCATTCAGATGTAGCAGGCTGTAAAATTCAAATTTTTGGCAATTTTGAAACTTTTTTAAAAACCAAAAGATACTCTTTCTTTGAATATAAAAAATTAAAGAAGGCATAATTTGCTACCAAATGAGTACATGTGCACGTTTTCTATACAATATATTTGTATTTATGAAGGCAGTCAAAATTCATGATAAAAATGCATACTATACATGTAGTCATTTTTTACAGGACCTACTTTTTCTAAGTGGTCAGAAAGAAGCTCAATACAGAGCCTGAATTCTGTTGTGACTGAAGAGACTTGAGATTGGACGTCACAATAATCAGTATTGGAACTCTACGTTATGTTGTTCTTTGAGTAATAACCAGTCTTTCGAAAATTGCGGCAGTTTGCTTGCAGCACTCGCCACACTTTATGTAAACTGTCATTTTCTAAGTGACTGCAGATTTTGCAGGCGGAGGAAAAACAGTGCCTCTAAAGAAGAATAAATTATATTTGACGTTAAAAGGCCACCGACCGTCAACAGAAATAAGATAACTACTTTATTAGTCATTTTATGAGCAAAAATTTGCAGGTGACGTAAAAGGCATCCATTCGAGAGCTGGCATCGTAGTTTATCGAAACTATCATTGAATCGTGTCGCACACTGACCGATATTCCAACATGCTTAAGAAGAAGCAGTCGCTGGGACGACTGTTAAGTGAAAAAAATAAGTCGAATTTGCTTCCCGCGGCCGCTGGTAGCAGGTTATTCCACATGTAAATTGAAGGTGGACTATAATAACCTTATT